GGGGTTTTTTGCCCCCCCCCCCCGGGCCCCACGGGGGAACCGACCCCTTTTTTCCCTAGGTTTTGGCGAATGGAGAAAAGAAAGTTGGGTCCGCCCCCCTGGTGGGGGGGGGGGGGGGGGGGGGCAGAGGAAGCTCTACTCCAAGGAATGCCGGCTACTTGCGTTACGCATCGTCCCGGCGCGTTTTTTCATTTGTTGCTGACGATGCCAACCTATTCTCTGCCTCTTGCTACTTGGGACTGCTACACGATTGCGACGCGATGTGGACAGGATGTAGCGGACACGCTCTCGAATCTTGGCGAGTGCGCATTGAAGGCTGGCCGCACGAAGGACGCCACTGAGTACTACGAGAGAGCGCTCAAGATTGAGGAGGACAAGTTCGGGGCGGATCAACCAGTGCTGGGAAGCACCTTTCATCATCTCGGGCTTTGCGCGGAACAGGTGTGCGGTGTTTGTGTTGTGTGCGAAGGGGGCACTTCGAGCTTTTTCTTTGTACTATAAATGCAGACATTTTCTGGCGGGTTTAGTGCTGTATTATTCGTAGCATGTCGATGTGTGTTTTGGTAGTGGATTCATTTAAACGATGTGATTTTTCATCGACACCAATTGTCGACTACGCCATCGACACCCCTAGACATTTTTTTTCTTTTTTTCAGGCAACGCGGTTGTTCCTCCAGCAAGTCCAACGGATCAATGTACTCAACCCCAACGGGTGTTACCTGCTCGCCTTCAATTCACACAATCAAACGCGTACTGGTACATCAAAAACTAACAATCGCAGGATGGCCGGACGGACGAAGCGGAGGAACTTTTCCGGAGAGCCCTCGCCATCGAGGAGAAGCAGATGGGCGCGGACCACCCGAACGTCGCGGCCACCCTGGCGGGGCTCGGTGCCAACGTCCTCGCGTCCGGCAAGAAGGAGGAGGCGGAGTCGATGCTAAAGCGGGCGCTGGCCATCACAGACAAGGCCGGAGGCTGCGGCAGCAGCGACGGCGGCGGCTACAGCGGCGAGGTGTCGACCGGGCCGCCGACGCCGCCGGTCGGCGGCGGCTCCGCGGGCACGCTGCACACCCTCGCGGAGTGCGCCCGCAAGAACGGGAACTACGAGGACGCGCTCCGGCTGCTCGAGAGAGCGCTCAAGATCGAGGAAGGAGGGGACGACAGGGGTGATTCCCCGGTCGCGGGCGCGGACGCAGTGCTCGCGACCCTCCGGAAGCTGGCGAGCTGGGCGGGGGAGGCCGGGCGCGACGGGGAGGCGGAGGCGTGGTACAGGCGGGTGCTCGCCCTCGAGGAGGAGGAGCTTGGGGAGGGGCACAGGGACGTGGCCACCACGCTGGTCCTGCTGGGGAGATGCCTCTCGCGGGGGCAGGCGAGGGTCGAGGAGGCCGCGAGCCTGTACCGGCGGGCGCTGGAGATCGTGGAGGAGGAGGACGGGGACCGGAGCCTACAGGTTGGTGTGATACTGGTACTATTCGTGAATAGCGCATACTGTTTTGTATTGTTTTTTTGTCTGACAATGAACGGGACAAATCCGTTTTCGGCGAAGTGTATGTTCCTCCTCCTCACCCCCCTCCACCACGGCAGACTCGGGGAAGGAGGGGGTGTTTCCTCCTTTCCAATCAAGCAGCAGGTTAGACCGCGTCTTGTTTGTACCGCCGACCGTTTTGTAGTTCCCGTTTCAGAGTGGTTCGGAAACGTGGTACGGCAATGCTGGAAAGCGAGAACGCAAACGTTCGCTCCAAGACGGTATTACAATCACAACCACCCTTGAGAAACGGTAACACGAACAACACAACAACAGCAGTAACATCAACCTGGTCCCCCGACCACGCTTATTATGCCTATGACGTCACGACACAGGTGACGAGTATCCTGCTGGACGTCGGCCTCTGTGCATTGATGCTGGGACGCGTGGAGGAGGCAGAGGTGCTGTACACGCGGGCGCGGACTATCGAGGCGGAGCACCTCGGGGGGGGTGTCGACGAAGTGCAGGCTACGGCGCTAACGCTGGAGATGTTTGTCCCTCGCGCACCAGTTTGACTTCGGGCAGAAGATGGAGGACGACGCCACAAGGGTGGGTGGCGCTGGTAGGCGCGGACGATTGATGCAAGGTGCACAACGCCCGAAACCTGGGGCCTTTCGTCGCCGTCATGACACGAGGGTACGTGGAGAGGGAGCTGAAGAACTCCAGCTGTGGTTCGTTTTTTCTTCTCATAATTTGTCTCTGTTCTTTTGTGTGTGCGTAACACGTGACCACGTGGTGTAGTCCCAATTCGACCTTTATGTTTGCTCTTGTGGCGGTTCGCGGGTGGATAGACCGTTACAAGAATCCAACGAAGAATTGACACACCCCGACCTGCCGTTTTTCAGTCCGGCAGGGGTAGCGTCCGGAGCGTTCGTTTCTGTTCGTTCGTACGAGGTCGCTCGCGCTTCGTTATATCGTTTATTTTCGGCAGAGTTGGCTACAGCCAGCGAGACAACAACACTGTTAACTTCCGGCCGCAGTTTTTTTTCCGGAACGACGGGGAAGGGGGAGGCGGGTGTTTTCGTAATGACGTGTCCCGTGGTCTTTCGCCCACGCAGGGTAGCCTGGGACTTGACTCGTCATTGTTTGGTGGTAAGTAAGAAGCCACTTTTTTGGAACACGGGTATATTTTTAGCACGAAAGATTTCTTGAAACGTGCCGTACGAGATGGAAAAAAAAAAAGAGTTGCTTGAGATTAGAAAGAGGGTGGGAAGACGTTGTCAGTTCACATCCAAAGCTCAAAAAACCAAAAAAACTAGTTACGTTGTGTGGGTGGATAAGTTTTTTAATTATGATGATGATGTTTCTGAAGGCCGAACTAGCTCGAAGGCCGAAGAATTGACACGGCATCCTGTGTTTCTGTAAGCAGGCCGTTGGAGGCGGCAAGTTTCGTGGTTGCGGGGGGGGGGGCGTAGACATGAAAATAGTTTCTCGAGCGTTTTCGAAATGGTTGCACCTCTGAAAAAGAGAGAGTCGCACCACGGTGCGCGTTAGTTTTCAAGGCGGCGGTGGGTGTGGGTGTGAATATGTATGGCATCCTGGCTTGGATGAGAGGTGCTAATAGCCACAGCAGCCGACTATTCCCTGGTTTTGATAGGGCGAGTTTTTCATGGAGAGGGATGGTATCATGGTAGTTTTGATCCCTGTGTCTGAATATATGTATGATGTCCACCGAAGTCCATCAAATAGTTGTTTTGAATTGAATGTATTATCTGCGCGACAATCGTGCACAGGTTGACAAATGAGCCGTGTGGAGCTGCTCTCTGTTGATTGCCATCCATTTTTCCGATGAGTTCTTCCCAGGCCTTTGGGGATAGGTTAGTTGGATTTGTTTGCCAGAAAGGGGGGGATATGACTGACACCAACCAAAAGTTAAAGTTGCATTTTTTTTTTTTCGAGGGACCTTGAAGTTTTTATATCAAAATTATGCAGTTCGTCGGGCGCTGACTCCCCAATACCCCGTATGTATTGGTTGACCACCATTCCCGTTAGATACCAGTGACGCGGTTCGAGCTCAACAGCGAGTGAGTGAGCTTGTGCACTTTGAAGAGGGCGGAGGGGGAGCGCACGTAGTATGCCTAGAACGCTTTTTCTTTTTTCTCCGTTTTTTATTTGTCGTGCGGTGTCTGTGCGTGCGGTGTTGTGTGCGAAAAAAAAGATTGATGGGTTGGACAGCTCGAAAGGGGTTTGTGTTTGGGCTAGATCGTCGATCGATGGAGAGAGGAAGGGCGGTTTCTGGTTCATCGCAAGGTGAACTCGTGTTTCTTTGTCTTTTCGATGGCATCGACAGAGGGCAGACGGTTGACCAACAAGAAAGATTTCGTCAGTCTTCTAGCGGGATAGATCGTGTGTGAGTGCGTGTGACTTGATCTATAACCAGGATTTTGGGGGGGTCTACAAACTAGTTGGGATAGACTAAACTATGATCGATCGGTGTTGGTGACGCTCCCGAATTATCTCTTGTCTTCCGCATTTTTTATCTTCCTCTGCTACGTAGTCTATGTGGTATTCTAAACAGGTTCGAGGGTGGCGGTTGTACAGGAGGACAGGAGCGGATATTGAAATATTGGACGCGTGAATGAGTGAAAGGCTGGCAGGTGGAGGGCATTGTGGGCCTACGTCGGAAGAGGCCGGGAGATTAGCCGTCACTCGTTGTTCGGGCAGGATCTGCCCCGTGTTGAACCAGACAGAGACAGGCGCGACTTGAGGATGTTGTCCCACCTCTTTTGAGGAGTTTGTCGCTGCAGTGACAGAGCGAACGCCTCGCAGCATGAGCACTAGTAGACTACCTGTACATTCGTTCACAGACCGCACGCGTCGAGAGGAAGATTGACTTGCTAAATGAATGGACGTACTACATGCGTGCGTGTGTGGGTGCATGTCAACGACAACAACACCAAGAATGTGAGCTCGCTCCCCCGCTACCTCCACCCAAACTACAATCCGTCGCGCGTGTCTCTTGCACTTTCTGCCTTGTAAATTGCCATAGTCTATGCATATGCATTCACACAGTCCCATGATCGAACGTCCTGCACTCGCATTGTTTCTCGGGCACAACAGGCATCAGAAAAAAAAAGAAAAAAAAAGCCCCCTCCCCCGCCATCCGCGTGTCCCCTGCTGGCCTTGCCTACGCGGGCGAGACGGCCAGCAGCAGTTTTTGCAGTCTGTTAGTGACTCTTCCTATCTAACGGCTTTTACGCCCTCTGATTGGTCCGGCGTTGGTTCCTAGCCTTGACCTCTCCAGCGCCCTCTCGCCGTTCCGCATTCCGAGAACGCGGCGCAGCCGCGTCCTCGACCAGTTCGCGGCCGCTAGGCCGTGCTTTGGCCGTGGGTGAAGGTTAGGGTTAGGGTTAGGGTTAGGGTAGATGTGGGGTGAGGAACCTAGCCTTGCTCGCGTGAAGAACCTAGCCTTGCAAAGTGCAACATCGGTTAGTCCTAAAGAGTCACTAACAGAGTGTAAATAGCTCCAGACGGCACAACATCAGTCACCCCCGAATGATGATGCCGTCGCTCGCCTACTGGTAGTACAGTACCGTAGACGTGCTACTCTCACTCGCCCAGCGTACTGCTGTAGACAACTGTTCGCCATCCCTGACAATTTTATAGAGTACTCCGCAAGGGGTATTTGCTGTAACCACGGTAACCTCCCACACGGCGTCGGGACAACAGCGCAACCGTCGGAGATTCAAGACTATTCAAACGCCGCCGGCGGAGTAATTCGGACAGACCAGAGAGCGAAGAGCGAAGAGCGAAGAGAACAAAGAACCCACACACACCTTGGTCGGTATTGTGCGTGCCGCTCGTGAAGTCATGCGGTTCGCGGGCAGACAGCCGGCGGCCGACTCGCGCAAAAGTGCTACTGCTACGTCGTTGCGAAGCAGTAGGCTACTACACGACCATCACGGCGACAGCAGCAGGAGTGAAACGAGTCGCTCGACTCTAGGAAGGGAGAGGCGGCATTGCATGTTGTCAACGGGTCACTGATATTCCCGTTCATGCCAGAGATATTTGGCGCGAGAAAGGTTTACTGGCTTCTCCGCCAACGCCATGCATATTGGACAAAAGCTGTCCCACACTGACCTCTCTCTGTGCAATCGAGCAACTGTACCGAGTGCGATGAACCTTGAAGGTGCTTGTACCGGCTGCGGGAGCTGGTATTGGGTCGGAGCAAAGGCCTCCTTGCAGATGTTATGGTCTTATTCTTTTAGTTCGAGCTCAGGAAGGGTAGCTCGAGAAAAGGAGTGAGAAGGGAGGGGCGAACTCCACGACTCCAGCAGAGGCTCCGCGGACTGCGGCTAACCACCTCTGTGAGGGTGTACGTACTTGCGGAACAATATCATTCCGAACCGTAACATCCCCCCTAGTATATTATTTACTCATAATATACTAACGCCACATCCTGTACTTATAACTAGAGGAATGATAGAACCGCGAGGTCTACCATCAACCGATATGCCTCGAAAGTAACTAATTCACCCGAACTTCACGCGCCATCTCGTCTCTCTCTTTCTCGTGAGGGACAAAACTCTCGATAAAACCCTCTCGTGAAGTTCGTTGTCATGGAAAGCGATCCCCATGACAGTGAATTAGCCCACATACCGCCACTAGCTAAAGCGTTATTGCAATCGTGACAGTGATTGCAACCGTGTCCTACAGGACCTAATCAACCCACGCGTGCGCACATACACTCGAGGGATTGCACACAACTATCGACTCGGTACCGCCTACCGAGTAAGAGCAAAGGCGTAGGCTCAAGAAAGAAAAACCCCTCAAAACAACTAAACGGAACTCCTGGACAGGTCCTTCCAGACTCCCACATTCACACCACCTATTCAAGCGCCCCTTCCTCCCCACTGCCACAACGACAATCACGGGACCCTACATGATACACCCATGTCCCCCCACCATGGCACGACATATCCCACAACAACGACGGGATGGGGCAGTCTTCAGTGAAGACAACGTTCTAGCTCTTGACGCGTCATCTCCTCCCAGTTCTGGTTACTGTAGCGTACACGCCAGTATCGGTCGCGGTAACCGAACACTTGGCCTTGGAGCTTCAACCCTCCTCCAACGTCTTTCTGGAATGTAAAACCTATTGGGTAAATCCCCAGGGCTTCACGGGCGGACAACGGTGTACGCGGGGTGGAGCGTGGAGTGAGCTGATCAGCCAGTTCGGGATGATACAGATGCCACAATGCGATGAAACCATCTAGCTGCAAGCGTGTGAACGCGCGAAGAAGCTCAGATTCCGGCAACCACACGGACTCAACACCAGCCTGAGAAATGGCTTTGTACTCCCATACTAAAGAACCAGTAGGTGAATGGACCCGACGGCAATCAGAAAGGGAGACGAACAATCCTTGGTCCGGCTGTTCCACTGGCAGGCAAAAATCGGGACCCCACGCAAACTGCATAAATTCCTCGGCTATGGAGTGTCTTAGATGAGGCGGGCGAATATGAAAGGGTTTCAACTCGGCAGTGCACACTCTTCTCGAACGTAGTTTTCTTCCCT